TGTCAAAGGGCTGCAACAGCTCCCCAGGCTGCAAGGGTGATGTTCAGGTGGCTTCGCCGTGTCACCGGGGCCTATGTGGATGGCAGCAGGTCCCCACCAGAGATGGGCATTGCCGAAGGCCCTCATCTCTGCATCGAGTCCTGCTGACATCAAACAGAGCGTTCCCCCTTCACAGCCTGCTGCAGAGTCCCAAGGGTGAGGTCTTGGTGGTCTTTCTTTGGTTTGGTTGCATACCCTGGGGGTCCCCAAAACCCTCTGCAAGCCTCTGAAGTGCTGCAGAGTCAGCCAAGTCTCAGCTCACTTCAGCGCTTTAAGAACGAATATGGGCCATACAAAGCAGAGAGCTGTTGTAGCATCTCTGTTTCAGATGCGGATGCAAGGTTACTGCCAGCAGCCAGCCCACCCTTCGATACTTTGGGCTGTTTGGAATGGGGACTTTCATCATGTCCAGGAGGGGTCACTAATGGCATTTCTAGCACTTCTACAGCAGACCAATCTTAACGATATCAAGGAGTACGGAAGTATTAACGTTCCTGCAGGTACTGGGATGTTTGTGGCTCTTCGGGACACCCTGGGGTTTCGTGTGGAAGATGGAGCTGCTCAGCAGCTCCCCTCAGCCCCAGCCACTCTCCAGCCCCCCGAGAGGTGCCGAAACGAGGCAGGTGCTGCAGGGAGTGCACTTTGCTAAGGGCTCTGCTTTAATCCTGCCTGTCGTTCGGGGAGGAGATTCAAACTCTCGTTCCAGAGGTTGTATGAAGTTGTAAGAAAGCAGGCTGGTCTCCTGAGAGTGAAAAAATGTGGCTTCTCCAGAGTACGAGGCATGTTTACTGCATTGCTGATGGTGTACGTCCACTTGCTTCAGTGAGCACACGGTTCCTCCCGCAAGCCTGATAAATCCCCTCCATCCACGTACCCGCTGCTCAACCGTTCCTTCACGGGCAGGCTGGGTAAAGAGCGAGAGACCTCGCGCGATGAGCTCCACATGAGCAACTTGGGATCCTTTTAGACTGGCAGAAGGCACGAATTTCACGTTTTGCAGCCTCTTTCAGCCTGAAGGAAGGGTCATCCTGGTTTGGTCTCTCAGCCGAGCCTCCAACATTGAAGCCTTCACAGCTCAAGCTCAGCTTTGTGTCTTGGGCCCAGAGGTGCTTTAGCACAGCATCTGGAGAACAGGGTAACGTGTAGGCAGCAGGAGCTCCGCTAAGCCTTCTTTCTTATCTAACCTCCCTCGATGACTGTCAGAGGCCTCTGTGTGTTTCTAAAGCCTGTTTGCATCAGTGGGATTTGCAAGTGTGAATAATTTTCTTCCTTAAATACCCTTTCTGAGGACCACATGAGTTAATGCAGGCAGCCAATGTACTCTTTGTGTGTTGAACGTTATTATACCTTTATGAGAGAGGTAAAAGGTAAGCAGAGATGTAGGTGGTTTAAGTGAGATACTTTGGATTTGCAAATGGAATTGAAATATCCTGATTTCCCTGTTGCCCTTGCTCAGTATTTTCTATCTTTTTCATCCATGGAAATTGGATATTTTCAACTGGCACAAAAATTTGCCTATATTAAAGTTTGGACTTTGGGGCTTGTCAGGGCAAATCCGTAAGCTTAATGGTAACAGCTTAATGGCAATAGCTTGCTGCGATCGCTGCAAGGACAAGGGGCTGAATGGCAGGTTCTGATTTTCTGCTTGTATCCTATTTCTTCAAAGATAACTTTGAAGTTAGGAGGGGGGAAAGGGGAAGAGGGCCCTTCATGAAAAGGGAGAAATCGGATTTCCCCCAAGAAAGCACAGAGTGAGCTGGTAGCCGAGGGCTTGTCGAATGGGGTCTGTGGCAAGCTGGGTGGACTACAGCACTCCCTATTCGTCAAGTGAGTCCACGGCCAAACTCGCTTGAACCAGTTTGAGACAGATTGTGCGCGTGTGCAGGCCCAGGGAGCCTCTGCTACCGGACTTGCACCTCCCGCTGCGGCTTCCCTGTGTCCAGCCGTGGGCAGCAAAAGGAACAGACCAGGCCCCAAATCATAGCCTGTGTCTATTTTTTAGAAAGCTGTGAATAATTCTGTGATTGCTATTAGTTTTGTTGGTCAGGAAAGCTGAGAAGGAGTAATCAAATCTCACGCTTTTGGCTGACGACGGGTGGCTGGAAGTGTTATGGAGGAATTATTCCCTTGTGCCCTCCAGTGTCCTGGTGGCTTTGCAGAACCCTTACGCGTGCTATGCAAAAATCTCCTGCACCATCGGATACCGGCCGTGGTCAGACTTAGTAGGGTGATGGTCTGATGCACACAGAAAATCCTGGGCTTTACCACTCAGAATAGTGTACCTTTGTGGGAGGGGGCTGCGTGATGGCCCAGCAGGACCAGCTGGGCCTTCCTCCTCAAAAGCCCATTACCGACTCAGGTCTACTCCAAGTGAGAGAGGCGTCAATGACAGTTAGGGGAATATATGGAATATTTTTGTCTCCAAGCTAAAATGTTCAAATCGCGTCTCATCCTGCAAGCCCGTGGGTTCTGTGTGTACTGTTTCCGTGCTGGCATTTCAGTGAGCTCAACCTCCAAACCGTACAAAAGCAGCTCCGAGGACCTTCCCCTGGGCCAGCCCCAGAAACAACCTGCAGCTGTGGCGGGGGTTCTGCGGGGCTCACGAGGCCGGCTGAGATGTGCTGCCGCTTGCATGTGCTGCACCCACTGGTGTTGGGGGCACCGTTCGTTCCCAAAGTCGTTTGGGCTGTTTTAACTTGCGGATCTGTAAACCCTGTGCAACAGGAGTGCAGAGTCCGTTAGAAATGTCATATATTTACATACGTATATGTTGCTGCAGGGCTTCCAAGAACTTGCTTTGGTTACTGTTTTCAGAGCTAATGTTTTCTGTGGCTCTTGGGGTGTGTAAACTGCGGGCTGAAAAACGCTGCCTTTCGGGGTCCGAAAGGTCCGTGGGGATGGAGCTCCAGAGATGAAGGATGCTGCCTGATTCGTGGCTGAAAACACAGAGGGAGCGAGAGCTTTGATTCGCGTAGATGCGGAAGCGAGAAGGCCCAGCACGCCGGAGTGATGCGCACTGTTATTGGAGCGGAGAATTTAAAAAGCTGAGAGTTATGAGCTATGGTTACGTTCTCGCCTTAATACGGTGTTAGCTGATGTTACGCTTCCCTGCTGAGCGGTAGAATATGCGCGGAGGTTAACGGGTCCTGGCGCTTTGTCTCCTAGAAATGAGCTTGCGGAGAAGGCGACGAGCGTTGCGTTGCGCGCGCTCCCGCAGCGAACGCGGGCGGGTTTTGTTCGTTTGTTATAGGGGGGAAGGAGGAGGGCAAAGAAAGAAAAGGGAGGAGGAAGGGAGCCCCGAGCGGCAGCGAAGCGCCGGGGCCGAGCGAGGGCTGCGCGGGCCGGTGCGCTGCGCGCTGCGCGCTGCTGCGGTTGCGCGCTGCCGCCGCTGGATGGCAAGCGG